ACCCCAGCCAGTTCCATTAACTGTTATGGGAGAAGTGGTTGATGAAGATGATGTGAGTTTCTATTGTTCTATTCATATATTAATTATTCTTTATATTTGTAATGCAAGTCTAGACACTAACAAATTGTTTTCATGGGATCCTTTTTTACCTTTGTTTTCTACACATTGCCACCGTCGTTGACTTAACCATCTTGTTTAGAAATACTTTATCGAGGCAGATGATGGAAATGATGAAATGAATTAGGATAATCTAGAAATTGAGAAAAGGTTAGTTGATTTTAGTATGACTGTTGTCATAATTGCTTATGCATTTATTACTACATCTTTTGGCCTTCCGGGGAAATATTGGGATTAGAGGATTATATGAGAAGCTTGTAGATTTAAATATACTGTGAGTAGTAAAATTAAACTTGGATTCACGGATTCAAATATTAGTATAGCTGTAAAATACATTTCCTGATAAACATTAGGATCACATTTTAGCTTATGATATGTTCTTTTGGTTAAAGATGAGACTCAAAATTCTATCATCTCAAACCAGCTTTTGTATGTGGATCGCTAGCTTGTGGGATTTCCCTCAAGCTTAAGGAACTCATATTTCATTTTATCATGAACTCTTGATATATAGATTGATTCTGCTTCTATCATGCTGCAGGCCTCTCAAGACAAAGAGGGTGACTCTAGTTGAGTTAAATAAGAGAGCTAGAAGGAAAGAGCTTCAAAAAAGAGAAGCTGAAGCGAAAAAGAAAGAGGAGCTTACCAATGACATTGACAAGTACATTTAGCTGTCTCTAATGTTGCTATTATTTACTTGTTGAGGATATATGTTTTATTATCTTTTGGTTCTTTTGGATGCAGCATACCAGACATCTTACAAGAAATAGCCAAAGAGGAGGAGGAGAAGCAAAAGAAACGTCTTCGAAGGACCATAGCTAAACAAGAAAGACTTAAGGCTTGTCCACCACGCTTGGGCAAGTACAAGTATGCAACTGCTTTTATAAGTTCTCACTTGTCATCTATTTTTCCGATATATAATGAGCATAATTAATTAACTGTATATTTGTGATTTTAATGGCAATGATTAAAATTTCAAAACTTATTTGATATCTAAAATTAAATCTTTTGCACTCTCTTTCAAGTGTTTTTCCATTTGAATGTTCGATTTCACTTCTTGCATCGAGTGATCTGAATATAATGCAGTAGTTTCTCAACATTTAAAGGAATTAGAAAGATACCTGATTGATCTATATTGTTCATAATTTCCAGGTTCCAGCCTGCTCCTACTCTTATCTGAAGAGCTTACGGATCTCTCCACAAGTTGAAGGTAGATGTCTTTGACAATTTTTAATTTTACTGTTGGTTAATAAAAGTTGACTGAATCCTCCCCCATCACCAAGAGTGGAAGGTCAGTTGAATTTGATAATATTTATGTGTTTGATGGAGACCTGAAACCAATGTTACGTGACCTCTTATTACAATTCCAATTACACAGTTCAAGTATGTATGCATCGCAGTTTTTCCTTTCTTTCATATTGATTTTGTACAAAACTGTAATTGGATGGACAACATCGAAGACTCCCATGTTTACTTGGAAAAGTATAGGGTTCAGTTACTCGGTATAAATTAATCATTCACCTTGGTAGCATTGACATATTTTTACCAGCAAAAAGTTGCTTTCCATGCGTTATTATAAATTGTTCCATTGATGTGCTTGTTGACAGGAAATAAAGAGGATTTGTTTCCAAGGATCTTGACCATTCAATTTTGCGGCAGCAAATCAGAAGGCTCTTCAGCCAATGCCATTAAAAGGGAGCAAATGCGAAAGTTAAAATGATCTCTTCCCATTTGGAAAAGCAAACTAAAATGTGCTTAAAAGTTGAAAACTATAGATATACAGACCTGAGGTGATTAAACTGCCACATTTAGGGGATATCTACCATTTCAACTGGTGATGTTTTTTCTTGGATGCAACCTCTTCCAAATGTGTCAGCTTTGCTTTGCGTGTGGATCACCACAATTTATTTCTGGAAGGCTTTCAAAGTTTAATTAATGGTTTTGATGGGCCAAATACTACAGTTTATGTTGGGTTTTTCCAAGGAGATCAACTGGGTGTCTTTAATGTTTAAGAGTCGCCATCCACTTCGAAACCAATCCATGCTAAAATCTGATACAGATGAATCTTTGGAGTTTGGGTGGTATTTGAAGAGTTTATGATTTGATTCCATGCTGTCCAGTTGAATGTTGCTATGCAAGCCAATTATTGGTGGAACATCTTACTTATCACGAATGGAATTTCATCTCCACTTCAATCGTTTTATCTTTGGATACATATTGATAAAGTTTGGGTAAATTACATGAATGGTCGCTGAAGTATGAGTAAGTTTCTATTTTCCTCAATGATATTTCAAAAGTAGCAATATGACCACTTACGTTATTAATTTAATGTTTGGGTAAATCGATCACTCGATCGTTAATAATTAATTACATCAAAAGAATTAATGTGACACGTTAAAATAATTTGTTTGATATGGTTTTGCCACGTAAGATGAGAGTCGACCCACCTCGCCTCTTATGCAACTGCCTTCTCTCTCTCTCTTTTTCTCTGTCCTATAAAAGCTTTCACAAAGCTAAAAGAGCAGCATTTTAATGCCCCGACAACCTGCTTTAAGCTGTCCTTGCTTTCTTAAAACCTTGTAGCAAAAGGGTTTTCCATTTCTTCTATTTCGCAAAATCAAAGAATCAAAAGTTTTAGTTTTTTTACATCTTCCCTCTCCCTTTGTTGTTTAAAGGATGAATAAACAAAGTTATTATTAAAGAGACGAGAAAGGAGTGGAGATGGCGAAGTTGTTGGATGTCGGAGAGTGGCGCCAAGCAAGCATAGTCCGCTACTAGTAACCACCAGTTGATGGCCCATTTTTTTTTTTTGCTCCTCGGTGACCTATGATTACATAAAATAATAAACCAAGAGTATTATTAACCTGTTTCCTTGAATTAGAAGACAGAGGATTTAGGTTGAGTGATTCGTCAATTTATCTCGGCTCCTTTTTGCTGTATCTGTCCAAGGGTAAAACGACACTGGAATGAGGTAGTCTGATACAGGTGGAACAATTTGACAATATAGGCTGGTGAACCTTATATCATCAAAGTTGAATGTTGATGAGAGGGTGGGTGGCGGATGCAGAAAATGGCCATAGAAACTGGAACCTTATATCAAGGGGGGTGCAGAAAATGGTCATGGAAACTGGTACAACAAGAACAAATCCAAATTAACGAAAAGCTTCCCAGGGCCCAAAATTGTGTCGAAAGCCATTAAACACCAAACACCAATCTTTATTTAATCTTGGACAGCGCACTTATTAGGACTTTACCTTCAATGTTTCCACTCCTATTGGAATTAATCTTTAGCAGCCATCACTAGATTTGATTTCCATAGAACGCGTCGCTCATTGAAATTCAAGTATTCAGCTAAAAGCCTCCTTTACCCTAATTTAATAAAGCATGACTTACAATGGCGCGCTATCAGTTTCTGTTTCTAGCAACATTTTTCTTAATTTCCCTGTAACAGCTGAAAGGAAAATTGACAAATTATTTCGTAATCCACATCCCAATTCCCATGGCAAGCTGCTGGAGCAAGGGCCCTGCACTTTTCCAAGTATTCAACCTTCATCCTGTTTCTGACAAGGACCTCTTTGGAGATGGGACAACTTACGGAGTACAATTGGCTTTTTGATCTTTTGATCAAAAGGCCAAGGAGGGGCCCTTTTATTACTGTAATATGATGGACGACAGATGATAGATGAGGACTGCAGGTCTCCGAAGCAGCGCCAACTATTATTTACCATTGACGTTTACACTCTTAATAGTTTTTTTTGTCAAGATGCGACCTGCACCAGAAAAAGCCATACAATAGTAACTTAACCGATATGGTTGCATATTTCAAGTTGGGATTTACTCGTTTAATTCGTGAATGATAACCGGAGCAGAATTCCTGATAGTAATTTGCTACCTGTCCTCATCCCCACCTAGCCGCGTAAGCTAAAAAATCTGATCACTCATCAACGTTTTGATTGATCCCACCCTTTCATCATCACCACTCAGATTCAGCCACTATTTTGGCTTGTCGACTTTCCATGCCCAACTCTCCAATACCCCTGTAAGGCTGGAAATTAAGGTTGAGTTTGGTTTATGAAAAGTAATATTATCTTCTTGAATAAGATTATCGGAATGTAATATATTATTTATTATATTATTGAGAATGTTGTATTGTTGTGTTTTGTTCGTTTAGTAGGAATGTAAGATTACATTGTTTGATTAAAGGAATAAAAGATTATTATAATGTATATTTTATCAAATTGTCATTATTATATATTTATTTTTTAAAAAGTTGAATTCTAAATATTCAAATGAAAATATTTGTATAAAATATCATAAAAAATATATAATTTTATTATTTTTAATTTATATATTTTCTTTAAAAATTTTAAATTCATAAAATTTATATATATATTTTTACAAAATTTAAAAGATAAATATGTTTAATGCAATGGTTTAATTTTATTTTAACCTTTGAACTTCATATAAAATTCTAATTATTGACTTTTTTTTGTAAATCTAAAATAATTTAAGGATAAATTTGTAATTTAATATTCGTAGAATTTTTTTTATTCAAAAATAGAAGAATGATATTTTTGAAATTTTTTTAATGGCATTTTAATCCAAAACGTCAAGAAATGACAAATACCTAATAGATTAGGGAAATCATATTTCCGGTAATAAACCCCTAAAATACTACTATTAGTAATAACTTATTACCAGAGATTAAAAATATTTACAATCTAAACGAGAGAATCACATTCGAAAAAAAAGTTCCTGGTAATATCACAATCTACCATCCAAACACACCCTAATTCTCACACGGATTTGTTTGTGTGGAGAATGAAAACCAAGTAGAAGACTTTTCCTATATAAACCATTTTCCCATCTCATCCATAGAAAATCTCGTCACTTCTTTTTTTTTTCTCTGCACAGAAATCCAAATACTGTTTTTTCTTTTTCTCCATTGCTTTTCTCTTTTTAGGTGTTCTCTTTCAAGAACTGGCTAACACTCAGGAAACACTTGCGGAGGAAACCAACAAGAACCAGGCGGTGGTTCTTGCCCTCTATGATGCCCTAAACACCCGAGACGTTCAGACCGTTCACCAGATACTTGCTCCAGACCTTGAATGGTGGTTCCACGGCCCCCCTTCTCACCAGTTTTTGATGCTCCTTCTCACTGGAGCTTCTTCCGACCACTCCTTCCGTTTTAACGTTGACCCGCTCTCGCTCACCACCTTTGGATCCACCGTCATCGTCGAAGGCTGCGATCAAAGCCTTTCGATCTCGTGGATCCACGCTTGGACCGTGACGGATGGGATAATCACCCAAGTGAGGGAGTACTTCAACACTTCTCTCACCGTTACTCGCCTTGGAGACCCTACCCAATCTCCACCGTCCACTTACGGTTCATCTTCGACGGCAGAGATTACACCCGCATATTGCCCTTCCGTCTGGGAGAGCAGCTTCTCCAACCGGGTCGGGAAATCTGTTCCGGGTCTTGTCCTGGCCATTTAGTCTCCATAATCTCTCTGTTACGAGTATGGCAATATAATAGCATAAAATAAAGCAAAACTAAAAGTGTCCTACGTGTTTGTTAAGACCGCAGATGTGTGTTTGCATTTAGAACCTTTAGTTGGAGGTTCTGTTGATCTGGTTTTATATTTGTTTATTATCGTCTAAGTTTGATTCCAATGCATTCGGCTTTGGAGATATGTGGGTCCAACGTCAGAACACCTTCCTGTTCTTCTTACCCTACTCTCTGTCATTTCAAGTGTTTCTTGTGTGCACTAAAAGCCTGGTGTTTTTTAACTCTTTTATTTTTGCTGCTGTTCCTATCTTGAAATTCAAGTTTTTTTTTTAATTTAATATTAAAAGAAATAATAATATTAATCAAACTAAAATGATTTAACGAAATAGATAAGATTCATAAGAAGGAACTTGGACTGTAGTTTCTATTACATCTTATGTTGCATTTCCACTGCAAACAACAGATGATTGATTAAATAAGTCTCCATTATACGGTAGTGTTGGTATCAAAATCAATACGGGAATCTCCGACATGGAGTGGGAACAGAAACAGTGCGTACTTTGTCACTTTAATCATGTGGCGATCTTTAAGGACACGTCTACCATGATGCCTTTCTTATCTCTCAAAACTCACCAATATAATAATATTGTTATTATTTTTTAAATTATAATAGATAATTAAGTTGGTTTTATTAAGTAAAATTTTCGAGATAATGTTTTCGAATTTTTTATTTAACGATATAACATACTCCCAAGATTAATTGTTCAAATAGGGTGAATTGCACAGTGTTGGCCGTAGGTCGCCCGGAAGGCAGGTCGTCATGCCTTCCTGGTGACATACGGCGTGACAGCTTCCTAGCATAAGTCGTCATGCCCTCCGGGTGACCTTGTAGGTCGCCATGCACGTCAGGCGACATGGTAGGTCGCCATGCACGCTGGGCGACCTTGTCCTGGGCCTTGTCCCCACTGCATGCTCGCCTGCTCCCCACTGCATGCAGGCGACCTCTTCCGACGTGCATGGCGACCTCTTATGACGTGCATGTCGCATGCAAAGCTTTATCCTCTCACCACAGCTCTTAGCAAAGTTTCATTCTATCGCCACAGCTCGTATAGAACATTTTTGTCATGATTTCATTGCTGCATGCATGAGGGAGACATGGGTGAGAGAGGCAGAGTCACATTTGTCGTGATTTCAGCAAAATCACGGAGGAGTTCGAGCCGCTTGCATGGCGGCCTACAAGGTGGCACCGAGTGTATGGCGACCTATGATCTCGTTTGGCTTGCATGGCGACCAATACATGCACTGTATAATTCACATCATTTGAACAATTATTTCTTGGACATCATTATCACGTGAATTGTTTTTTTTTTCACAGCAATATCTCGTGAGTTTTGCCGGTTTTATTGTAACTTTAATAATTAAATCTTATTTAGTAATTAATTTTATTTAATAAAATAAATATTTATATAGACAAGAATTCTTAGTGAATAAGTATTTGACTCTTAATAAAAAATATTTAACTATATAAATACAAATTATGTCTTAGGACCTATTTGTTTACTTCAGAATGATTAAGTGCTGAATGATTCAACTGTTGAATGATTCAGAGGCTCTGAATGAATTAGCTCTGAATGTGACATGTTGTTTGTTTACTGGCTTTAAATCATTCAGAATGTACTTCTGTGCTGAATCATTCAGCACTATTTTGCTGAATCAGTCAACACTGAATTATTCAGAGATGCGAAACAAACGCGCTGAATGCTGAACCGTTCAGCATTCAACGCTGAATGATTCCGTTAAGAGGTAAACAAACATCCCTTAGTCTTTAGAATTATGTGTGAGAGGATTATTTTGGAAAGATTAATCATTTTTTAGATCTTTACAACTTTTGGGTTTTATGTTGCAAAGATAATTTTGTAAGGATTAAGAAAGTTTGTAGGATACATCTGGTTTTTGTATCTATATATCGGGTTTTGATATGCATGTGATATCATATACTTGTACTCTTCATTCTCTACCATGATGCCTTTCTTATCTCTCAAAACTCACCAATATAGTAATATTGTTATTATGTTTTGATCTTAAATTATAATCGATAATTAAGTTATATTTTATATTAATTTTAATAATTAAATATTATTTAGTAATTAGATTTATTTAATAAAGTAAATATTTATTTTAGACAATAATTCTTAGTGAATAAGTATTTGTCTCATAATAAAAAAAATATTTAGTTCTATAAATACAAATTATGTCTTAGGGGCTGTTTGTTTGCCTCTTAATAGAATCATTCAGCGCTAAATGTTAAATCGTTCAACATTCAGCTCGTTTGTTTCGCACCTCTAAATGATTCAGTGTTGACTGATTCAGTACAGAAGTACATTCTGAATGATTCAGATTCATTATCAAACAACATGTCACATTCAGAGTTAATTCATACAGAGCCTCTGAATCATTCAACATTTGAATCATTCAGCGTTTAACTATTCTGAAGTAAACAAATAACCTCTTAGTCTTTAGAATTATGTGTGAGAGGATTATTTTGGAAAGATTAATCATTTTTTAGATCTCTACAACTTTTGGGTTTTATGTTGCAAAGATAATTTTGCAAGGATTGAGAAAGTTTGTAGGATACATCTGGTTTTTGTATCTATATATCGGATTTTGAGATACATGTGATATTATATACTTATACTCTTCGTGTTCTCTACATTTATATTGGATTATTGTTCGTTTCGCCTGTGGAAATAGGTAAGGTCGAACTACGTTAAATCTCGTTTCTTGTATATGTCTTATTTTATGTTGATATCGCTTTGGTTGTTTTTTCGGTCTCAAATTTGTAACGGTGGTAAAAATGTATTAATTTAAATTAAAATTAAGAATGTATTAAATAGACTAATCAACATTTGTAAAGATCATTCCTTGCATGGCTTGTAAACAAAAACAGGGAACACTGGAACAGTTGAGCATATGATTCCTAGGTATATGCTATATCTTCCTTTTCAAGAGGTTGTGCCTCATATATGCCATCTATTCTTTGTGCACCTTCACCTAGATTTGTTAATTTTTGGTATTTTAACATTAATGTGTCTAATTCAAAAGTTAGAATTATCTTTTTATATGATAATTAGGTCTGATTCGTCATCATGAGAGTATAATTTTAAATGATTATTTGAATACTTATAAATCTTTTAAGATTTTTTCACCTTCAAACTTTATAAATTTAAACACAGAATATAATACACAAAAAAACTGGAATGGAAAGAGATTTGCAATAGTTGAGAAGAAGTGGGATATATTATTCTCGACAATATAATGTACGAAAAGGGATCTAGTTATTGATACTTGTTACACCTTGCTGGAACCCTCACTCCGAACAGTCACGCCCCAAGCGATTCCGACCAATTACACTCTCTTCAGTTATATAAGAGCTCATGGAGGGACCTATCGTCAAAGACGTCATATAAATCTATTTCTTGTAACTTGTCTGACAGGCAAGTTCACTTATTAATTGTAATATTAAACTCAATGGTGAAGGGAATATCAAACGTAATTTCTTTAAAGGGGAAAAGAGGGATGAGAATAAAAAAAATGTAAGAAGTTGATTCAACGAATCAAAACAAAATGGATAACACGAAGCAATTAGCACGAAACTAATGCCATATGTTTCTACCTTGAAGCAGAAAAGGGGTTGAGGAGCCGATGCCAAATTCAATTAGCACATGTGGGGAACCTATTCTATTGTGTCAAATCAGAATTTGCAAATGCAGATAATGGCCGCTACAAAGTATATGCCCATTCACTTTCACTATCCATTCGGCCCCATTTAAGGCTTTCGTATGCCATTTTGCTTTCTAATTTCAGTGGTAAGTCCAATCCTCTGTATATATTTGATTCATCAACTGTTGATAGACAAGTAAAAAATGGGAGACATAAATCTTCTTTAGCTAATCAAAATTTCATTCATGGGTTCTTTTCCCTTGAAGATTATGGTCATGAACCGTCATTTTCATTCATAGTGACCAGCAAAGCTACAAGGATAAACTTCAAACTTGAAATTTTATTGGACTCATTTCCTTTAGTGATATGGCTGTAGTCTTCTAGTTGCCTTGAAAGGGCTCATTTGTTTTGTTTTTCATCTCCTTTGGTGATATGGCTGTAGTCCGTTTCATTGTTCCCAAGGAGTGTCCATGTTAACATATCTTTATGCAATCTATGCTGATGATTGGAAAATGAATATGATTTTCAGCCTTGTTTTGCCAAATGATCTGCAGATGTTTAGGCATGCCGAGTTGTGGTACAATGCTCCCTTGAGAACAATACATCCATGTTTCAGACAAAAAAACAAAGCAATTAAACATGCATACATACAATACAACAAATATGGGAATGGATCAACATGTTCTTAAACAAATATGACGAATGTGTACTTTATCACACGTAATACACATTCTTCTATGCATACCAATCAATTCTCGAGGTGTTATCTACCTTCTATTCTGTCCTTCATTCCCATGGTTTCTCGGGGTTGGATTGTGACCAGAGTCCCACGCGCTTCGCCCAAGCCTTCTTTCCCCACTAATATTACATACGCACAAATATCATAATTAAAAGTTTTTAACTCCATGATGTTCAAGAACGATTACGAACCAAATTGTCATTTACTTACAGTTGCAAGTTCAACACGTAGGTTGTAGGCCGTGTAATGCCATGCGAGTTCTTTCTTGAGCATTACTTCCTGTTTCAGAGTCAGATTACCAGATTAATTTACTCTTACCAGGTAAACAAAGTTGAAGCTTACAAAAATAGTATCTAGCTGCATAAACATGCCATTGCAGTATACATCTGCAACGCAGTGGGCGTAGCGATCTTCCTTGTCGATGAGCACTCTCAAACACTTCTCATGAACAAGCTTAACCAACTCCTGTTTTGCTTCTTTTCCATACGGCATTGCATTCTGGGGTGCATCTATACCCCTGTTTATATACTTTCAATCAACCATCACATTTCAGTTTAGAAAATAGATACAATAAGTCCTACAAGCAGATAATGTTACCTTAGTCGAATCCATACTTCCGAGCAAAAATTTATTCGTTTTGAAGATTTTTGACCCTAGAGATATACGACCGTTATTGATCTCAAATTACAGTCGGGAGAACTAAGCCTAAGAAATGAATGGAAAGATTTGACAAGGGGAGGCTGAATATAGCTATAGCTGGTATCCTGATTCAATAATTTTCTGGCGGAGTTCATCAGCCCTGTGATAGTTCTTCTTAGCTCGTACTTTTGATCTTCGGATTGCTGCCATAAGGACATCTCTAGGTACATGTGATGACTCCCTAGGATCAGCAGTATCCACATACACGTTTAAACAGATAATTTCTTAAAAAAATTGTCAATCAGAGTTAATCAACAACAGAAGATTGTTGATTGTATGTAAGTTACCATTTGACCTGAGCCTTCCTTGATACAACATGTTGACTGACATCTTCGGGAACATGAAACCAGTTTACAGTTTAACAAACATGTTTGCTACTTCAGCTCAAAAAGTTCAACAAAGAAAACACACAAAATAAACAAAGACTCAAAGAGAGGCTTGGGGTTTCTTGGATGATGATGGAACCTACCTGGGAAGTGATTTCAAAGTTGAAGAGATCATGTGCAACAATGCAAGAGATGAAACTTCGGTGGCTGTTGTGGTGTAACGTGGTCATACTGAATCAGAATTCTCAGTGGTGCTGGGATTGCAACACTTCCATATAGGAACCTCATAGCATTTCCAACTGTAGAGTATTATTTTGTTAAGTCTCTCAATTATTAAAAGTTACAAAATGGTCATTCGACTATTTATATGTTCCAAACTCATCATTTTCCATTAAATATTTTACTACAGTCAGAACTGGACATTAACTTTTTGATTGAGATATAATAAAATATAATCTCAAAATCTCAAAAGACTATCATATCTCAGTCAGTATGTTAGCGTCCAACTCAAATTATCATCAATTTTTTAATAGAAAATGATGAGTTTGCAACATATGAATAGCTGGGTGACCATTTTATAACTTTTAATAATCAAGGGACTAAACAAAGCAACACCTTATACTCAGAAATCATTTTATAACATTTAATAGTTGAATGACTAAAACAAGTGATATTCTATAGTCAAGGGACCATTTGTGTACTTTACCCTAGAAAGTATATAATTTAAGCACTTAATTTTTCATTAATAGCGTAAAATAAAACCTTACTTGCATAACTCGGAAGTCAAACATCCATTGAAAATCAACTTCCGTTACTGTCCCGTTAAAACTTAAAAGAAACCACGCGCCGCTACTTACCACCCCTGATATCACTCTCAGTCCATGGCGACCGCCGGGACCATTCCGATGACAAACACTCAATCCACTGCCGGTAATGGCGCCCAATCACAACCCCCAATCGCCACGCCTTCTTTTCGTACATTCCTCTCACGGCTCACATCCTCGATCCGTCAGGGATTCTCTCACTGCCGCCCGTGGTACGAGCTCATTGATCGGACTGCCATGGCACGTCCCGAAAATCTAACTGACGCCTATTCCCGGATCAGAAGAAACTTGTCTTACTTCAAAGTCAATTACATAACTCTAGTCGCAGTTGTACTCGCTTCCTCTCTCCTATCGCATCCCCTTTCTCTCCTTGTCCTCCTCGGCCTCCTCGCCGCTTGGCTCTTCTTATACTTGTTCCGACCGTCAGATCAACCTCTCGTAATCATCGGCCGTACTTTCTCCGATCGTGAGACGCTTGGTGTGTTGGTGGTTTTGACACTCTTTGTCGTGTTTTTGACCAGCATTGGCTCGCTCTTGATATCCGCGGTCTTGATTGGAGTTGCCATTGTTTGCTTACACGGTGCGTTTAGGATTCCAGAAGACTTGTTCTTAGACGATCAGGAGCCTGGCAACTCCAGTTTCCTCTCCTTCCTCGGTAACGCCGCCACCTCTGCTGCTATTGCGGCGGCCCCTGCAGTTGCTTCGCGTGTGTGAACTACAGATTTTGCAAGCGGCACGTGCGTATGATTTTCACATTCTTTCATGGTAAATCAAAAACGATTAAACTGTTTTCACGGTAGATTGGGATATTCAATTGTAGCTTTGCACTTGTTTTTATTTAGACTTGGATTAAGAGTTAGATCTTACTGTATTCTGATTTGAATGTTGTATAATTGCCTCTGGAAATTTTGATTCTGATTTCGATGGGATTAAATTTAGCTTTAAACATGTATTCCTATTTCTATTTATCATGGGAGTTTGATGCTGTTGGTTTTCAAGTCGATAATTGGTGGGATTAGTGTTTTCTGTTGCATATGGCTGATCCAATATCTCTTTTTACTTAATCTTGGATGTTGAGGTTGCTTTTGAGTTTGTCTGATATAGCTTAATGATTTTCAACATAATAGCTTTCACATCTAATGTACTTGTATACATTCATCGACTTCTTACGAGTAAGTGCAAAACATAGCCTTCCGAATACTCTGATTTGTTTATGCTCCAAGTCTAATAATCAGAGACTGAGAGCATGCAGTAGTGATTAGGTATCTGATAGTTAGACTAGAATTCTTGGGCTATGTTCAATGAGGCTATTTCGTGATTTACTAGAACATTGCTGTTTTGGGCATAGATAATGCAACTTTTAATTCCATCTTTAGTATATTGCCTCCAGTCCTTCCAAATGTTAACAAATACATCCTTTATTGTCAAGAAAATATTTTCAGCATCAACTACTGACAGTTTTTTACCACCGTTTCATTATCCATACGCATAGTGCTCAATTGATTGTGCAGAGAGCATATTTTACCTGCCATTTCTACATGTTTATGCAGCCTCGCCTAACTCCCATAAATCATTATCTACTTCAGTCATAAAGTTCAAGCCAAATAAGCATTTTCAGTTCCGGTAATATGTTCTGCATCAACAGCTGGCTCTTGCCTGTTTATTTGCATAGACTAGGATTGGGATCTATGTATACTGAAGCAAAGGTAGAAATGGTGCCATGCCATTCAAATTTTATTATAATTTTCAGCAAAAGGGTCCTTTCGCCTTGGGATAGAATCCACATTCATATTCTAGATGTTCAATTTGTTTGCTAGACTATTATAGCATGGTGAAAGGACTCTTATGCTATAAAAATGCAAATAAGAGCCAAGAATCCCTGATTGTCTTGAACTGAAACCAAGGATGATGAGTATCTGAAATGCATGAAGCTCAATTGCTGCAAATACCCTGGATAAATGGTGGTAAATGCATGCACTTAGATGTAGTTCGAAAAGGGAGGACGGCAAGAAGAGAGTTGCTTGGTCAAACAGGAAGGGCATCGAATTGAATGTCCACAACACCGCCTCAGCCTTCATATGAGCACAGCTACAAGGTTGGTTTTCATTCATTTCATGTCATGTACCATTAATGAATGCTCGGGACTTCATTGCATATTTAACCCGTATGGGTCTATTGAATGAAAGAGCCAGAGCTATTCGCGCAGAAAGTTTTCCCATGTGAAAACCATTTACAAGTAGAGATGAATATCTGACGACCACAATCCAAATCCCTTGTCCATTATTAACCTGGGTTCTCCTCGTTAATTGCAGTGACAAAAACTAGTGATCCGAACTCTCCTGTGTTCTTCTCCTCACCCTTACTAAAATCTAAAAGTAAAAAAACATTGGCCAATCCAGAACGGGTGTACTGCATAAAAGAACCGAGAAAATGACATGTTCATCTCAACCTCGTATTAGTAACTAAACTCGAACATCATTACTTTACCTTTTAGCACAAACCCAAAGAAAACCCATGTGGTGGGTACTACGGTCAATTCCCTTTATAAAATGTCTGACCAGTATTTTGTAACTTTGTGTGTTGTAGGATATTATATTATCAGCAGCAGGTGTTTAATATTGGGTGGTAGGACCCATTTTGAAAAAAGCTAGCCGTTAGAGGGAGCGGCAATAACATATTGGGTCCATGAATGAACATTATGAATGTTAGTCAAAACTTAGACCAAAAACCATTGAGAAACGGGGAGAAAATTAGTGAAAAACTAGCCGTTAGGCATTGTGTGAGCTATGCCTTGCTCCACCAGATCTGACTAAATTATCTGCTGTTGTTTTTTTTTAATATAATTTTCATTTAACATCTTCATGTGCTCTTTCACAATTAAAAAACACCACCTCTTGGCATCTCTTCCTCTTCAGTCTATGTTTCATTTATACCTCCATGCCTACACAATCAAATTTGAGTGAAAGAAAGCAATTGAGGGAAAACAAAGAGCAATTTACAAATACATATATTACTTCTCTACTTTCCTTCCTTCTTATTCTTAATGGCTATAGTTAAACCAAATTTTGGGTTTTTTGTTTGCAGAGATGTAGATTGTTGCTGCATTTCAAAGGATAAAGAGGATAAATGGCAGGATATTTCTCTGTTTTCTCACTTTTTCTTGCTGCTCCTCTGCTGCTTCTTGTTCATTCCACCAGTTTCAAGTCAGGCCTGGGATGGTGTCATTGTCACGGCAGCGGATTTCCAAGCACTTCAAGCGTTCAAGCAAGAGTTGATTGATTCAAAAGGGTTCCTAAAAAGCTGGAACGATAGCGGTTATGGTGCTTGTTCTGGTGGTTGGGTTGGGATCAAGTGTGCTCGAGGGCAAGTCATTGTTATCCAACTTCCATGGAAAGGATTAGGTGGCAGAATCACTGACAAAATCGGCCAGCTCCAAGCTCTTCGAAAGCTTAGCCTCCATGATAATCTCATTGGCGGCTCCATCCCTCGCACATTAGGCATTCTCCCTGATCTTAGAGGTGTTCAGCTTTTCAATAATAGGCTTTCGGGTTCGATTCCTGCTACGTTAGGTTCATGTCCTTTGCTTCAAACCCTCGACCTTAGTAATAATTCACTCACGGGGACAATCCCTGAGAGTCTTGCAAACTCCACTAAGCTTTATAGGCTCAACCTTAGCTTCAATTCGTTTTCGGGATTGATCCCGGTTAGTCTCACTCGCTCTACTTCTCTTACTTTCCTTGCCCTCCAACACAATAACCTTTCTGGTTCCATCTCAGATTCTTGGGGTGCAATGCAGAAGGATAGCTTTTATCAACTGCAGTACTTAACACTTGACCATAATCTCCTCTTTGGAACCATACCTGCATCTCTAGGAAAGCTACGTGAGCTTCAAGAGGTTTCTCTTAGTCATAATCTGATAACTGGAACCATACCAAATGACATAGGAAAGCTTTCTATGCTTAGGAATCTAGACCTTTCTTATAATGCAATTAATGGAATCTTGCCTGTTAGTCTCTCCAATCTGTCGTCTCTTGTTGTTTTAAACCTGGAAAGCAATCGTCTTGAAAACCAGATCCCAGAATCACTTGTCAATTTACATAACCTTTCTGTTTTTGTTTTGAAAAAGAACAAATTTAGCGGTCCAATTCCAGCAGGTGTAGGGAACATTTCGAGTTTGACTCAACTCGATTTGTCAGAGAATAAACTCAATGGACAAATCCCATTTTCTCTTGCAGACCTCAAAGTTCTTAATTCTTTAAATGTTTCATATAACAACCTATCTGGCCCTGTTCCAGCTCCTCTCTCTCAAAAGTTCAATTCAAGCTCCTTTGTTGGAAACATTCAGCTATGTGGATATTCCGGATCGTCTATATGCCCTTCTCCAGCACCTTCTCAAAATTTCCCTTCACCATCCGAGGAATCTGGACGTAAACATAGGAAACTGAGTACCAAAGATATGATCCTAATTGCTGCTGGAGCCCTTCTTATAGTTCTGTTTGTTCTTTGTTGCATTTTGATATGTTGTTTGATCAGAAAAAAGGCAAAGCCGAAAGCTAAAGACGGTCAAACAACAACCAGAGCTGCTGCTGCTGCTGGTGGTGGAAAGGGAACTCCACCTGCTGGTGGTGAAGTCGAAGCAGCAGAGGGTGGCGGGAAACTAGTCCATTTCGATGGACCCATGGTTTTTAGTGCCGATGATCTTCTGTGTGCAACTGCGGAGATTATGGGGAAGAGCACCTATGGGACTGTTTATAAGGCCACATTAGAGGATGGAAACCAAGTAGCAGTGAAGAGACTTAGAGAAAAGATCACCAAAGGTCAGAGAGAATTCGAAAATGAGGTTACTGTGCTCGGGAAAATCCGACACCCAAACCTTCTAGCTTTGAGGGCTTATTACATGGGACCAAAAGGAGAGAAGCTTCTTGTTTTCGATTACATGCCTAAAGGAAGTCTTTCAATTTTCCTTCATGGTAAGTAAATTTCAAACTACAACTGTTTTTGAATTACTAAAATATTGCAGTTTCTCGTCAGGCTAATATGCGTTCTACATTGCTTTCTTGATGCAGCTCGAGGGCCCGAAACACCTATTGATTGGCCAACAAGGATGAGAATAGCAAAGGGGGTTACTCAAGGTTTGCTGTACCTTCACAGTCGAGAGAACATTAATCACGGAAACCTTACATCAAGTAACGTCTTACTTGATGATGACACAAGCGCTAAAATAGCAGATTACGGGATATATCGCCTAATGACAGCTGCTTCAAATGCAAACATAGTGGCAACAGCCGGGGCATTAGGCTACAGAGCACCAGAGCTTTCGAAGCTGAAGAAAGCAAACACAAAAACTGATGTGTACAGCCTGGGAGTCATCATATTAGAACTCCTAACAGGGAAATCTCCAGGAGAGGCGATGAACGGCATGGATTTGCCGCAATGGGTTGCCTCTATAGTGAAGGAAGAGTGGACGAATGAAATCTTCGATCTGGAGTTGATGAGGGATGCATCTTCCATCAGTGATGAGTTGCTGAACACTTTGAAACTGGCTTTACATTGTGTTGATCCATCACCATCTGCACGACCAGAAGTTCAGCAGGTTCTTCAGCAGCTAGAAGAGATTAGGCCAGAAGTTCCTTCGACAAGCGAGTGAGAAAAAACGTTGTTAGGCAATATGTTCTTCTGTTAGGCAATATAATATAATTCTTTCATTCTTCTTAAGATAATAATGATTTTGTCTGTGTATATGAGTATGTTCAATTGCAATTAAGGATGTTGCCTTGAATTGTTGTGATCTTGTCTAATAGTTCGTTTCCTTCCATGATTGAACTGATCAGTAGTATTGCCGCGGCTCTTGCAGTTAACCGTTCAATTTTTTTTTACTCTATATGAAATTTTTGTAAAGTTCGTATTCAAATCCATAGATATATTTTAAAATATGATTCCAATCTAATTAAAGGGTAAACTACACTGGTCACTAATGTTTGTGTAAGGTTATATTTTTCTCACTAAAGTTTCAGAAATAACAATTTGATCATTAATATTATCGATCTATAACAAATCGATTATTTGCCATTAAAAGCCATTACTAGGGTAACATAATGTTGATGTGACGTGTTAAATCTACTAACCCTGCATAATTTGACCACAAGAAACAATAAATTTGAAAGGTGTTTGATATTCCTCTTTAAGAGGACTCCCAACCTCTTTAGGTGGGGACTGCGGATTCAACTACGTTATTGCATGGTGACACCACTACTTCATCCGGATGAAAAACTCCGAAAAAGGATGCCACAGCTACGAATGAAACCTTGAAAGACATATGTTGAAATCGAGAGAAACAATCATCTCGTTTTGGATTTTCTTTCCTTGTGCTTTTATCTGCAAATGTTATAGCTCGAATGGAGAATTTAGTGAACAACAAATGAGTGAAAATGGCATGTTCAAAGGCAGTCTGTGTAACCTTTTTCATTTCAATGCTCAAATGCTTTCTGGCATATGGGTGAGCAAAACTTGACTCGACTAAAAAAATCGATTCTTTCGACTCAACTCGACTTCGAGTTGTAATTTTATAAACTCGACTCAACTTGAAAAAATTTCAAGTTCAAATCGAGTTATAAAATACAACTCAAATAACTTGAAATTTTAGTAATTAGTGGATTGATTTTCAAGTTTGAGACGAGTTACTCCACTCTGTATGATATATATATCACATATGGAAAAAAATGAAGAAATATATACATAACGTATATAGTTATAAAAATCTATTTAAATTGGAATCAAATAATATCATAATATATAAACAAAAACTCGACTCGACTAAAAAAATTCACGTCAAAATCGAGTTATAAAATAAGACTCTTCAACTCAAATAACTTGATTTTTTTACTCGACTCGATCGAACGCTCACTCCTACCTGACAACCAGATTACCTTGCATTGCAAGGAGATTTTTCTTTTCTTTGTTTCATATCTTTGTGGTGTCTTTTATGTTTGATGCAAATATTTGTTGGTTTTTTGTTGACATTTAGAAAGGGTAAATTACAAACTTTAGTTACTAAAGTTTAGGATATTTACAAATTAGTCCTTAAGCTTCAACTATAAATACCCTAGCTCATTTAGTTTCAAAACCATCTCAAAACATTCTAGCTTTCTTCCAAACTAGAGAATTTAGAGAGTTTCTTGAGAGTTGTTTTCTCCTTTTTTATCAAGAGAGAATTATCATTGTTTTCTCCTTGGTAGATCGAGAGAAGTTGTAATTCATATTTTCTCATAGTGAAATTCTCCTATCGTTACCCATGGTTTTTACCCTATATTATTTAGGGGTTTTCCACGTAAATTTTGTGTCTCTTTTATCTTCATTTTTATTTTCTCAAATTATCAGTTGTGATTTTGCTCTATCCGATAGCCGTCTTCCGCAACAATTGGTATCAGAGTCAGATTATAGTATGTAATATCTGCTTATTGTCTTTGTGGTTGCCACCAAAAGGTGGATCCTCTAACATAAGAAAGTAAGAAGTTATTATCCATTATTTGAAGGTTCTAGAGAACTATTCACGATAGTGAAATAGTGGGAGCTATCCGTAAAAGAAGCTATGGCAACAAAATTTGATATTGAAAAATTCAATGGGAGAAATTTCTCAATTTGGAAATTGAAGATGAATGTCATCCTGAGGAAAGACGGTTGTCTAACAGCTATCAGTGAAAGGCCGATGGATTTCACAGATGACAACAAATGGATCGAAATGGACGGGAATGCTATGACAAACTTTCATCTAGCATTAGCAGATGAAGTATTGTCAAGCATCGAGGAGAAGAAGACAACTAAGGAGATATGAGATCATCTCACCAAATTGTACGAGGCCACATCGTTGCACAATAAAATTTTTCTTAAGAGAAAATTGTACTCTCCGGATGCCAGAATCTACTTCAGTGACGGAGCACTTAAACACACTGAACACGTTATTTTCTCAGCTTACAACATTAAGATGTACAATAGGAGAACAAGAACGTGCTGAACTTCTACTTCAAAGTCTACCTGATTCGTATGATCAACTCATCATCAACTTGACAAATAGTAACGTCACCAGTCTAGTCTTCGATGACATTGCATCTACTGTTCTACAAGAAGAAAATCGGCGCAAGAACAAGGAAGACAGACAAGTAAAATTGCAACAAGCAGAAGCGTTAACAACGATGAGAGAGAGATCAACAGAACGTGGCCAAAGTAGCAGTCACAAACATGGTAGATCGAAGTCGAGGAGCAAGAAGAATTTAAAGTGCTATAACTATGGAAAGAAGGGTCACTTGAAGAAGGATTGTTGGAGTCTAAATAAAAACTCAAATCCACAAGGCAATACCACAAACACTTCAGATGATGGAGATATTCTATGTTGTGAAGCGTCAACCACCGTGGAAGGTAGAAAGAAATATGCAGATATATGGCTCATTGATTCAGGAGCAACATATCACATGACCTCAAGAAGAGAATGGTTCCATTATTATGAACCTGTCTCAGGAGGATCTGTGTATAGTTCCAATGATCATGCCTTAGAGATCGTTGGTGTGGGAACCATCAAATTGAATATGTATGGTGGAACAATCAAAATTGTTCGAGATGTGCGGCACGTGAAAGGCCTGAAGAAAAATTTATTATCCTACGGATTGTTGGAAAATAATGCAAGCAAGATTGAAACATAGAAATGAATCATTAAGGTTTTTCGTGGAGCGCTTGTGGTACTGAAAGGTGAAAAGATAGCATCAAACTTGTATATGCTGAAGGGAGAGACTTTGCTAGAAGCAGAAGCCTTTGTTGCCTCATGTAGTTCAGATTCTGCAATGTTATGGTATCAGAAACTTGGACACATGTCAGAACAAGGAATGAAAGTCATTGTGGAGCAAAAACTACTTCCAGACTTAACAAAGGTAACACTTCCTTTGTGTGAGCATTGCATAACAAGTAAGCAACACCGATTGAAATTCAACAAATCAAATTCTAGAGGCAAAAGTGTTCTAGAATTGGTTCACTCTGACGTATGACAAGCACCAGTTACATCCCTAGGCGGAGCAAAATACTTTGTCTCATTTATTGATGACTACTCCAGGAGATGTTGGGTGTACCCTATTAAGAAGAAGTCAGACGTGTTTTCAACTTTCAAAAACTTCAAGGCGCGGGTGGAACTTGATTCTGGAAATAAGATCAAGTGTTTTAGAACAAATAATGGAGGAGAATACACAAGCAAAGAATTTGATGACTTTTGCAAGAAATAAGGCATCAAAAGACAGTTCACAGTGGCGAACACTCCTCAACAAAATGGAGTGGCAGAGCAGATGAACAAAACCTTGTTAGAAAGAACAAGAGAAATGTTGAGGGATAAGCCTAGAAAAATCATTATGGGCAGAAGCAGTCAATACCACCTGTTATTTGGTGAATCGACCTCCATCAACTGCAATAGAGCTGAATACACCAATGGAGTTGTGGACTGGTAAATCAGCTGATTATTCAAACCTTTATGTATTCGGAAGTATTGTGTACGTGATGTACAACTCCCAAGAAATTTCAAAGTTGGATCCAAAATCCAGGAAATGCAAATTCTTGGGGTATGCTGTGGAGTAAAGGGGTATCGCTCGTGGGATCCCACTGCCCGCAAAGTGATCATCAGCAGAGATGTCTTTGTAGAAGATAAACTACAAAGAAAACAAGACGATGATAGCACTGAAAAGTCAGAGACTACTCAGATACATATGGAAAAAGAGTTTGAACAAGGAGATTCTTCTGAAGCAGAACCAGCACATGATGAACAAGAACCAGAGAGTTCTGAAGCTCCAACAACTAGTCAATCAGATCGTGTGAGAAGACGTCCCAATTGGTACTCATATTATGTTATAGAAGGTAATATTGCATACTCCCTTTTAACAGAGGACGATGAGCCATCAACATACCAGGAGACAGTAAACACCTCAGATGCTTCACTGTGGATGATGGCGATGGAAGAAGAAATTAAAGCCCTTCATAAAAATAATACATGGGATCTTGTGCCACTACCACAAGGAAGGAAGCCAATTGGTAACAAATGGGTCTTCAAAATCAAGCGAAATGGTGACGATCAAGTTGAGAGGTATCGTCCAAAACTGGTGGTCAAAGGATATGCTCAAAAAGAATGTATTAATTTCAATGAAATTTTTTCTCCTGTGGTTCGACTAACAACACTTCGAGTAGTCTTGAGAATGTGTGCTTCATTGAATTTACATCTAGAGCAGCTAGATGTTAAAACAAATTTTCTTCATGGAAATCTTGAAGAAGAGATTTATATGCTCCAGCCTGAAGGTTTTGAAGAAAAAAAAGAGAACTTGGTTTACAGGTTAAACAAATCTATGTACGGTCTAAAGCATGCGCCGAGGTGTTGGTATAAGAGATTTGATTCCTTCATTATGTGTCTTGGATACAACATACTTAATGCAGACCTTTGCTTATTTCAAGAGGACTGGTGATAACGATTTTGTTATATTACTGTTGTATGTGGATGACATGTTGGTTGCAGGACCCAACAAAGATCATATTGAAGAATTGAAGGAACAACTGGCTAGGGAATTTGAAATGAAGGACTTGGGATCAACAAACAAGATTCTAGGGATGCAAATTCACCGAGACAGAAGTAATAGGAAGATTTGGCTTTCACAAAAGAATTACTTAAAGAAGATCTTGTCACGATTCAACATGAGCCAATTTCTACCCCTCTTCCTATTAACTTCAAATTATCCTCCAGTATGAGTCCTAGCAGTGAAG